TGGGCCGACTAATACTCGCATGAATATACACAAACACTAACATTCAATATTTTTTATGAACTGCCCAATTCAAGAGAAGTTACTTTGGTGACTTCTTGACTCAATTTGCTCACAAAAATATTAAACTACCAAATAAATTGAATATATTAATAAGGGTAACCCTAAACCAAATTAAGTCTCAAGAGCCACTTCAAAAAAAAAAAAATTGTACTATAATGCCACGTATGATGGCTTTTTAATTAAGGCAGCGGGTCCCACGACATTAACACCATCAGATTCTCTTGTTAATTAAGGCAGCGGGTCCCACGTTTTCTTAGGTCCCCCATGTAATTGGCAACCACGGCACCAAGCGCATAAACGCCTCCACTACCGCATGAGCAGTCCAACATGAGCAAAAGAAAAAAAAAATTATCCTTTGACAAACTGCAACCTCACGCGGAATGAATCATTCATTCAGCATTATCACTGTGTCACACTACATGCCTGTCATAAGATTTCCAAAGGTTGACCAAAAAACCACCATGCCTGTCGACCACGCCGCCGCTACAACCACCACTGCATCGCGGCCCGTGTCGCCGCTCCCTCAACCGCACCACCATTACCCTTTGCAGCAACATATCCTTCCAATTCGAACTCCGGCAAACCCTCTCTTCGCCAAATCCCACGAACCGCACTTCGCCTACCCGTTTGCGCCCAAAGGCGTCATAGGAATCGCGACTGCCCATGGACTACCTCAGTCACGCCTTACACGTGACCAGGCCACCGCCTCACGCGTTGTTCGACCACGTGGTGGTTGTGAAGCGAAGAGACAACCAGGATATTTAACCCCAAATTTTAATTTAGGGTTTACAAAAATTTGAGATTAGGGTTATGAATTCTTAAATTTAATTTATGAAATACAAACATGAATCATGTATGGGTCGCTCTGATACCAATTGTTAGGTAAACTGTAATTAAATATGATCTTTAATCTAACGATCAAGTATAAAGTAATCCCATACTGTAAACATGCTGTAAACTGAATGCGAAAGCGTACCTGAATTTGCCATAATGATGATGTCCTTTTTAGAGAACTATTGATCTTATGGTCTTCCTCCTAGAGAGCACCTGTATTTCCCTCTGGATTTTCTCTTTTGATGGGGATAGAAAGAAAGGAACGGGACTGAAACTTACGTTCTGTGTGTGTGCTCCCAGAAGGGGACCATGACCCCTTAAATAACCAGAATTAGGTTAATTACTTAAGTTTTAGTATTTCCAATTTGGCCCCTCATCAAATTAGAAATTACTCTATGGTCTCTACACAATTTTATTTTCATGACATATGTCTTTAGCCAAAACTTTAATTTATTCAGATCAGTTTATTATTTGGCTTAATAAATAATGACTCTAACACATTTAAATTATGTATCATATATATACATGACCCAAAATTTGCCAACAATTTCTTCTTCATAGACTCCCGTATGTCTCTATGGTATCTTTCTTAAGAATTATTTCAAGAACAAAACGATCCAAGGCTTGGAAGAGATAGTTCTTTGCTTTCAAATATGAGTTTTTAATCTTCAAATTTTCACTGTTGTGCCTCAATCAAAGTCTCTCCCACAAGTGCAACCAGATTCCAATTTTTACCAAACTCTAATACTCTTCGGAGTAGAAAACTTTTCATCAACATTGTTCAATGATCATAATGATCATGAAACTTAGGAATTGAAGGTTGAACAAGTGTGTTTTCAGTTGTCATTACTCCTTAGATTGCTGCAGCTATGTTATATCAGGCCAAAAAGTTGTCTCTTTATACCATAATATTATAAATATAAGTTTTGTAATTTCATAACGTGAAAATTTGATGATATTATTCTTGACTACTGGTTGCAATGTTTGTACCCAAATTACAAAAACATAGTTGTTGAATTCTATTGACTTTTTGGCAAGCGCACCATTGTTGTTAATAGTTTAAAAATATGTAATCAAATCCACAAGAACTTGGTTAATCCTAACAACTACACTAACTTTATGTTATTATGCTTAAATTGAAAGAAATGCCAATTGATAATTGGAATTTTGAAAACAATTTAAAATTTGACAAACAAAATAGTTTTGGACTAAAGAAAGTTAGTTGAAGTTGAGTTCATTAAAAACAAAAAATGAAAAAAACAAAAAAAATTCATTCTCCTTCTATCTCTTACATCTATAGTATTTTTGCCATGTATATCTCTTTCACATTTAAGAAAAGTCTGGAATTTTGGTTTATGAATTGGTGGAATACTAGACAATCCAAAATTTTCTTGAATGATACTAAAGAAAATAGTATTCTAAAAAAATTCATAGATTTTGAGGAACTGTTTTTCTTAGATGACATGTTAAAGGAATATTTGAAAACATATCTACAAAATCTTCGAACTAGAATCTATGAAGAAATAATCCAATTAATCAAAACATACAATGGAGATCATATGAATACAATTTTGCACTTCTCCATAAATATAATTTGTTTCTTTATTCTAAGCGGTTATTCTATTCTTAGTAATCAATAACTTGTGTTTATTAACTTTTTGGTTCGATAATTTATATATAATTTAAGTGACACAATAAAAGCTTTTCTATTCTCTTATCAACTGATTTATGTATAAGATTTCATCAAACCCATGGGTGAGAATTAATTATGGGTTTCGTTTATAAAAATTTTGGATTTGCTCAAAATGATCAAATTATATTGATTATTTTAGATATAATTTTTTTTCATTATTTAAATAACGTATCTCCGTCACTTATAGTGATTTATCATAAACCAATTTGCTTATCCAATTTTAATTTAAAATTTTTAGCTAAAAAAAGATAATTTATATTTTTCTCTTTGAAACCCTAAATTAAAAAGGGTTTCCCACCTTGGATAGAAAACTATGCGAGTGACCTACCTAATCTCATCGTAGAAATTTAAAGGATCAATTATTAGACCATACAATCTATAAATGTTTTGTCTTGTATAAAAGAATGGCTTACTCTATTCATTTTTATATCCGTCATGATATATATAATCATTTGATCATATTTTCAAATGCATATTTTTATAACAGGCTATGAAAATATCAAAGAAGCAACTCGTCAAATGGATTGAGTATAATTAATCATCCTTTATGTAGAGTTACAAAAATTAAATATAAAACTAAGAAAACAAGTCAAATGGATTAAGATAATTAATCTTCCTTAGAGTTAAAAAATTAAATATAAAACTAAGAAAATGATGTTAAGAAGTGTTTAAAAAAATGAAATAAATAATTATTATGTTTAATAAATTAAACAAAGACACTTATCAATTAGCAGCACCCAAAACAACTAAAAATAAGGAAACTAATTCCAAAACAACCATATTTTTTTTAATCCTAGTTTACAGTAATAACTAAAAACTTTATTTTAAATTTATCTAACATAATATATACATTAAATTTTAATAAATTAAAATGAAGAAAACGTGCTTCTGTTTGCGCTAGTTTATATATATATATATATATATATATATATATATATATATATATATATATATATATATATATATATATAATAAAAAGGAGATTCCTCTTTCTGTATCAGGTAGAGAAAAATAAAAATATCATATGTATAATCTACACTATATGAAAAGGTGTAACTACTTTCATACATTGGGAGAGAAGAAATAATATCATAAATACAAAGAGATGAGAAATAAAATATTATTAAAAAAATAAAATTAAAAAAATTAATAATATAAAAATATATGGGCATGCTTTAGCGTTTATATTTTCACTAGTCTATATTTTATATATATAGAGGAAATTTCTTTTGATGACTTATAATTATTTTTATCATATATTATTTATAATGAGAAAAAATATAATATAAGAAAAATAATTATTATAATATTATAAATTTAAAAAAGAGGAGAGAGAAAAATAAATTGTAAAAAGAGCTGAAAAATTACGTGTAATAATATAAAAGTGGGGAGGATAATATAATATATATTAAAAATTTAAAAAATAGAGAAAGAATTGTTTTAAATATTTAATAATATAAAAAAGTGAAATATTTTATATAATATATAAAAATCTATATTATATATAAAAATATTCTCTTTTTATAATATTTGTTTATAATTATTTTTAATATATATTATTGATAATGAGAAAAAAATAAAAAAATATTATAATATTATGTATTTTAAAAAAATATATTAGAATTCAAACAAGACATCTAGCCCATATAAAGTGAAAAGTAAAATATAATATATATTAAAAAGTTAAATTTATAGAAAAATAATTTTAAAAAATATAAATTAATTCCTATTTTTCATCATATATCATCATCAAGAATGGTTTTGCAGCATGGTCCAATTTTTACTTTTTTTTTTTTTCTTCTGTATTGTCATGCACTTGATTGTTTGGATTTGAGTTTGTTTAAGCATGTGACCTACACGGTTTCATTCGATCTATTAAAGTTAATTTTAATCAAATATAAAAGCCAAATGTAATTTGATTTTAATTTAATCATCAATATTTTTTTATTTAATTTAAATTACTTTCACAATTTTGTTATTTTAAGATTACTTTTTAAATAATCTAATTTTATTTATTTATTTAGTGATTATCACAACCCAGAGTTCTACTTATATCAATATAACAGCATATTATTGTGGTGGTGGTGGTGTTTCAAAATTTAATAGACTCTTCCCATTGCCACATTAAAACATTCATACAATGAAACCATGATCAATCTAAGAACATGCTTGTTTTTCTCTATTGTTACTCATTGGAATACTTGCCTCCTGCTCTTCACTAGATCTCCCCAAATGACAAGTTGTCCTCAATCCTAAACACTGCAAAATTTGAGAACCAGAAAGAAGCACATGGGGCACTACCAATGTTGTACTCAGATGATGACTGAAACAAACTCATCCCTTCGCCAACTCCACCTAAGATGTTGTCATATGGCTGTAGCCACCATTGTAATCGTTAAGCATTTCAATATTTTCATGCAATAGGAATTTTTGGTTCCCCCAAGTTTACAAAAGCTTCTCCCCTGGTCAATCGAACTGCTGCAGCTTCCCAAGAGATAAGGTGGTTCATAAATACATCCACATACTTTGCTGTATCATTCTGTCCAAAAGTCACAATGATTCTTAAGCTAATGCATTTATGAAAAAAATCAGATGATATATGATGGTTACATACCCTGTAATCCAGATAGTATGCATGCTGCAGTAAAAATAAAAAACAATCAGTTGGCGATGACTATACAAGTAATTTGCATGTGTTGATTGAATTGTTAGAGTTAGAGAGAGGAGGGGCATACCTCCCACAAATCCAAATTGATAAGTGGCTGCATGAGAAAAGATCATTAGCTTCATTTACAATATTAATCAAATTAATTTTATGGAGGAAAATGGAACTTAACTTACTATGTCATCCCACACAATTGGGCAAATGGCATTTGAAGTTTGGATTATCTCTAGTTTTTTCTCTTCTCTCTTCACTAAAACAAGCAATGAATATTAGCATCAATCACCAGCATTATTAGAGCGGTCTATCAAACAATCAGGTTACTTTTGAAATAATATATATCAACAAACTCTACCCAACAAATCTTACAATGCAATTGTCCTGGAACTAAACCGGCTATGAGGAAAGACTAGTTACCACCACATCAATCATAGAACAATTAAATATTCTCAATTAGAATTTAACAACCACTCAAGAAAGAACATAACAGAGGCTCTTATTTTTTAATTTTACATTTAATATAGACATGTATATTATAAGGGAAATCCAAGGATTTTATGGCATATTAAGAAGATAAAATGGAATTTGAAAAACTAAAACATTATTTTAGAAGGATTGGGAGACCGCAGATAGGGGAGGTCAATCAGGAATGGACTTACAAACTAGCCAAACCCAACCAGAACCAAATAATGTGAGAGCAGCTAGTACAAACTTCTTCCTAAAATTCGTAAATGATCCAAAATCCTTTTCAATCTGTTGAAGGAGACCTAGTTTGGGCATATCACCCCCTCCTGGTTGCATGGACTCCCAAAAGAAGTCATGATTCCAAACCTGTGTGGAAGTGGCAGAATTAATTAGGCGACAACTGTTGACATAGACAGCATTTAAATATAAAAAGCACATAGTGATGATGCAGATCCCCGTGGATATAAAGATCCAAACACCCCAGACATACACTTTGATAGGAATCAAGCAATTGGATAAATAACCTCCCTACTAAACCCCTAAGAACCCGTTAGAGATGTAGATAATCAGGATATGGAAGAACTATATAATAGGAAAATTTACCTTTATATAGCCTATTATTCAGTTTCTTGATGCAACAAGTAACACCCCTCACTTTACTTGTGGCAAGAAATTTAATAAGCTACTATGAATTGTGATATTAGTTTAATTCTTCCTTATCTCTATTTATATTTCTAAGAACGATTTCTCAGGGGTTTAGTCTGAGGTTTATGGATCTTTATATCCATAAACACAGAAACCACAATTGTAGTTTCTTTGATTTACATATCATGAAGTTTTTTCCCTCCCCCATTGAATACATGTAATAAATTACTATACCTATCCTCTTTATAGATATAATTTCATATGTAGGAGAAAGGTTTTGTTTATTTCTTTGGATAAAAATAACTAGGAGTACATTTCACTTGATTGAGATTTACCTAAATTAATCTCACCTTCCCTCTTCAGTTTTTCTTTTCCAGTCATATATACCATTCATCTAGCGTTTTTAAAGAAAAAATAAAAGGGAGTAAGTGTAATTTCTTAAGAAAGATGTGACGTGAGTGTAATTTTGCAAATCTTAGAGGATGTTAAATATTGTGAATAATGTGTATATCCTAATTTTCCTATGTAATATATGATGGAGCATTTTCAGAATCAATTTAAAATGTTCAAAGCCAATGAGCAATCAATCTAACAAGTACCTCAGCTGCATTGTGGAATTGAGGGAAAGGATTTCCATTGTTGTATGTCACTTTGACTAGTTCATCCAAGGTGTAACCGTATAGTATATCATCCTTCTCCAGCTGTTTGTTCAAACCTTCTATAAAATTCCGATGATATTCACCCCAGTGCATGTCAATTGTCTTCTTACTCATATGCGGCTCTAAGGCATCCTAAAAATATTGAAGCAGAAAGATAAAGTCAGAATTATCGATGTTGATATAGATGGCCAATTAATGGCTGCTGTGAGGAATGTTGAGCATCCAATTTATAAGGGCCACAAAAGGGTTCTAGGATTCTCCTATTATGTTTTGTAAATCTAACAGTGTGGGGTTATATGGTGAATGAAAGTTTTCGTATTTCTCTAAATTCTTTCCTCCGTGAAAAGTTATGTGTTTCACATGCAGCAAAATAAACCAGTACCTTGTTTCCATTTTATTCACAATAGATAACTGCAAAAATTAATTGAGGTGTTGAATTATAGAGCTTATTTAGGGAAGGCAGAAGAGAGAAGAAAGGAATACTACTACTAATAAGATTATGTTGACATTGGTGGGCAATGACACGATATGAAAGACAAAGTACTAACTCATTTATACTAGTGTTATTCATAGGCACATTATGCAAGTATATAGAAGGAAAGGGAGAGGGGCTGACGTAATAGGAGATAGGAAAAATGGATCATAGAAAAAACGCCTCTTGGTGCGTGAAAGAAAGAAACATGTAACAGCAACTGAGAGGGAACTAGAAGAGAGAGAAGAGGGGCATATCCAAATGGAAAGCTGGAAGGAGGAGATTGGAGAGCAGGATGTAAAATCATGCAGAAAAAGGAGAGAGAGAGGGGTATATTGGAGGAGGGGGAGCTAACTGATTGGGGGGAATTCATTTTGGAGAGTAAGCTGTTAGGCCAGATTGAGTAAAGAAACAGGTCTTCCTCAGGAAAAAGGGGTTCCATGGTCTATATTTCCTATTTTTCATTTCTTAAAGGAGCTGTGCTCCAACCATTGTTATTTTTATTTTTTTTTCCATTTCTCTTCCCATACTTGTACTATACAGGGATTTATCACTGTTTTCGCTCATTTAGTGTTATTAATCCCGAGTTTTGGTATCCATATTTTTGGTTCCTCTCAATTAGACTCCTAATCCTAATCAAATAAGGAAATAAATCAGAAAAGATTATGAAATCTGCACATAACTCTTAGAAGACCATATAAGCTATTTTAGAATATAATGTTGGAGATTTCATGTTGACTAAAAATATGATTAAATTATAATATATAAGTAATGACAAATTTCATATTACAAGTCAATTTTGTAGGATCGAGTTAGGTTTGAATCCACTTTCTAACATAATATCACAATCAAGGTTACAAGTTTGATTCTCAGCAAAACAATTGTTGAGGAGGAGGTTGTTGTGGATTGCATCATTGTGGTATTAGAGCCCAAGGTGTTTAAAATCAAGATTATGGGAAGGATTCGTAACGGACCTACAAAATTGTGAAATCATAATAGAGTAGAGATAAGTAATTTTACTTTACATAAATATTTGAGATATATACTGATGTAATAATACAAATAACATACTGAATAACATACAAATAATTTTTTTACAACAAATAATAAATCATTATTAAACTCATGACATAATAAAATAAAATACAATTTCTTATTTAAAGAAGAATATATAAATATAAAAAGTAAAGAGTAAAAGGCATGACTAGAAGAATTGTGTGAAATAAGTGAATTTATCTAGAGGCATGATTGATTGAGAAAGAATGATTCCCTCGAGAGTTGTTCGAATAGAACTATCTAAGATGTGGTGGGTTGTTGACCAATAGAAAGAAAGCATGGGAAAAACACCAAAGACGTGTTCTTGAAATGTAGGACTATACTGCATAGTTAATAAGGTCCAAGCATGGAGGAAACCTCCATGTATAACCAAGCATTTGGACTATGCAACATAAGATCATAGAAGGCATCCCTTAGGTCGAAGATGTTAATAGACTCCTCCCCAACATAATATAAATTTTATATTCATCAAATTTTTTAATTAAAATTAAAGCATATGAGATGATATATGTTAGTCAAATCTCCCTATTAGGCACATTTCCAAAGAAAAGTTCAAAACAAGAAGGGTTCCCAATACCATCCTCTCCCAACAAGAGAACGAACCAACCCATTATTGTTCCCTTAAACACACTTTTCTTCATGTTAGATATTGTTAGATATTGTTAATCACAATATCAAACAATATCTTCTATTTACTCTAATTATTTTTTTGTTACTCTTTTTAGTTTTACCTCTCTCTACTATAAATAAATTATTCTATGTGTGGATTATACACAAGGGAGATTAATCTCAAACCCTACTTTCTATATATTCAACATAATATCTAGAGCTTAAGGTTATTTTAAAATTTTTTCGCCTTTGTCCACTGTCGCCACCATCACTGTTGCCGAAGGTGCCGCCACCGGAACCTCCGCCGGAACCGTCGGCGGAGTTTCATTTTTTACCAGCGACATATGATTTTGCTCGTCTCGGTCAGGCGACCACAGCACAGTTGAGATCACCACTATCGGAGTTGTTCGCCCATTGTCTCCAGTTCCGTTTAGTCTCAACGGATGTGTTTTGGTCTTCTCGTTTTGGATCTGTGCTTCGTGGATTGATTGGACTACTTTGAATTTTTTTTACGGTTTGTTTTACCTCCCTTCATGACTTCTTCCGCTCCTTCTTCTGTTTCATCCAACACACCTATTATGTTCAACAAATTTCTCAAATGGTATAAGGATCAACAATCTTCTAGTTCCATTGTATTTGTAGCACACACAGGTACATCTTTTGCTGGTCTGACCCAATCTTCTTCTCCTAATCCTTGGGTTTGTGATTCAGGAGCCACTGATCATATTATTGGTAACAAATTTTTGCTCTCCTCTTTATCTTCTCCTAATCATTTACCTTCTGTTACACTAGCTGATGGTTCTAGAGTATCATCTCATGTTATTGGAACTGTTAAACTTTTCCCTTCTTTAACCATTAATAATGTTCTTTATGTCCCTAAGTCTCCTTTTAACTTGTTGTTCATTAGTCGTCTAACTCGTTCTCTTGATTGTGTTGTTTTTTTTTCCAACAATTCTGTGTGTTTACATGAATGGAGTTCGAAACATGTAATTGGCACAAGATATGAGTTTCATGATCTTTATCATCTCCCTCCCTCTACACATGTTGGTGCAGTTATGGGTCTCCCTCTCTTCTTCATGCGCAGTTAGGTCATCCAAGTCTTGTCGAGTTACAGCAGCTTGTCCCTGTCTTGTCCAAGTTGTCTAGTTTGGTATGTGAGTCATGTTAAGGTTCCAACATAAAACCAATTGGCTATATGTGGAGTAGCCTAACATGTATTTAAACCATACCAAATGATATGAGGTAGGCGATGTGGGACTTTCAACACACCCCCTCCAACGAAGCCTGCCGGACCATGCAAAGGGTACTTTTGACCCAATTAAAGGGCAACTTTTGGCCCATGACAATAACCGGAAAGATGTTAGGCTTTGGCTCTGATATCATGTTAAGGTTCCAACATAAAACCAATTGGCAATATGTGGAGTAGCCTAACATGTATTTAAACCATACCAAATGATATGAGGTAGGCGATGTGGGACTTTCAACACACCCCCTCCAACGAAGCCTGCCGGACTAGGCAAAGGGTACTTTTGACCCAACTAAAGGGCAACTTTTGGCCCATGACAATAACCGGAAAGATGTTAGGCTTTGGCTCTGATACCATGTTAAGGTTCCAACATAAAACCAATTGGCTATATGTGGAGTAGCCTAACATGTATTTAAACCATACCAAATGATATGAGGTAGGCGATGTGGGACTTTCAACAAGTCATATAAATTAGGCAAGCATAATCGTACTTCCTTTCCTCGTAGTGTCATACGTGGCGCTTTATCCCCTTTTGTCGTGGTTTAGTCCGACATTTGAGGACCTAGCCGCGTTAAGTCTACTTTAGGTTTTTAATACTTTGTTACTTTTATTGATGATTATTCTAGATGCACTTGGTTATCTTTTATGAAAAATCATTCTAAATTATTTTATATCTTTCAATCTTTTTTAAATGAAATTCAAACTCAGTTCGGTGTTTCTATTAGAGTTTTGCACAGTGATAATGACCGTGAATATCTTTCTTATTCTTTTAAACAATTCATGGCTTCTCACGGTATTCTACATCAAACTTCTTGTGCTTATACACCTCATCAAAATGGTGTAGCTGAACGCAAAACTAGACATCTTGTTGAAACAACTTGCACTCCTTTAATTCATGGAGAGGTTTCTCAATATTTTTGGGGTGATGTTCTTCTTACTGCATGTTATCTCGTTAATCGCATGCCTTCTTCGGTTTTAGATAATAAAATATCTCATTCCATTTTATTCCCTCATGAACCTCTTTATCCCTTACCTCTAAGAGTTTCCGGGTCTACATGTTTTGTTCATAATTTCAGTCCTGGTCTTGACAAACTTTCTCCTAAATCACATAAGTGTGTTTTCTTAGGGTTTACAAAATTACAAAAAGGATACAAATGTTTTTCTCCTTCTCTTAACTGTTATTTTGTACTTGCAGATGTCACCTTTAATGAGTTCACCCTTTATTTTAAAAGCCAATCTTCACCCTTGTCTCCATCCAATCCTGTCAACACTCCTAGTACATTTAATGTTTCTGTTGTTTGTGACCCTCTAACTGTGTCTTCTTCACTATTAGTTCCTACTTCGCAATCAGCTTCTTCTCCACCACCCTTTCATGTTTATAGTCGTCGAAACTGATTACAACCACCACCATGTGACTCCACTCAAGTGCCAACTACTGTCTCCTCCGGCTCTGACACCTGAGTCTGACCTTCCCATTGTCCTCCGAAAAGGTATCTGCTCTACACGTAATCCCTCTCCCAATTATATTACTTTGAGTTATCATCGACTATCATTACCTTTTTAAACATGTGTTTCCTCTATTTCTTTTGTCCATTCCAAAAACTATTCGTGAAGCTTTAGCCCATTCTGGTTGGCATCAGGTCATGACAGATGAACTAAGTGTTCTTCATAATAGTGAAACTTGGGAATTGGTGTTGTTACTATTTGGGAAATTTGTTGTTGGTTGCAGGTGAGTGTTTGTTATCAAAGTTGGACCTGGTGGTATTATTGATCGCCTCAAAGTTCGTCTTGTAGCCAAAGGTTATACTCAAATTTTTGGGTTGAATTATGGAGATACTTTTTCTCCCGTGACAAAGATGACTTTTATTCGTTTATTTATCGTCATGGCTGCTCTTCAACAATAGTCTCTTTATCAACAGGATGTTAAAAATGCTTTTCTTAATGGTGATTTGCAAGAAGAAATCTATATGAAGCAACCTCCTGGATTTGTTGCTCAGGGGGAGTCTTTTGGGATGGGTATGTCATCTTTGCAAATCCCTATATGGCTTAAAACAATCTCCTAGGGCCTGGTTTGGAAAGTTTAGTAATGTTGTTCAACAATTTAGTATGAATTGGTGTAAAGCAGATCATTCTTGGTAGTATATGTTGATGACATCGTTCTTACATGTAGTGACAACCATGACATCTCTCAGTTGAAACAACATCTCTGTCACTATTTTCAGACCAAAGATCTTGGCAAACTCAGATATTTCTTTGGTATTGAGGTGACACAGTCCAATGATGGTATTGTTATATCTCAGAGAAAGTATGCTATGGATATTTTAGAGGAAACTGCGTTGATGAGTTCAAAATCTGTTGATACACCCATGGATCCCAATATGAAACTTCTACCAAATCATGGGGAGCCTATATCTGATCCTGAACAGTATAGAATATTAGTTGGGAAATTAAATTATCTTACAGTTACTCGTCCTGACATTTCCTTTGCAGTCAGTGTGGTAAGCCAATTTCTTAATTCCCCATGTGAAGATCATTGGAATGCAGTCATTCGTATCTTGAAATATATTAAAGGATCTCCTGGAAAAGGATTGTTATATGATTCTAATAACCATACAAGAGTATGGTTATTAGAATCTGCGTTGATGAGTTCAAAGTCTGTTGATACACCCATGGATCCCCATATGAAACTTCTACCAAATCATGGGGAGCCTATATCTGATCCTGAACAGTATAGAATATTAATTGGGAAATTAAATTATCTTACAGTTACTCGTCCTGACATTTCCTTTGCAGTCAGTGTGGTAAGCCAATTTCTTAATTCCCCATGCGAAGATCATTGGAATGCAGTCATTCGTATCTTGAAATATATTAAAGGATCTCCTGGAAAAGAATTGTTATATGATTCTAATAACCATACAAGAGTTGTTTGCTACTCAGATGTTGATTGGGCAAGATCTCCTTATGATAGAAGATCCACATCTGGGTATTGTGTTTCCATTGATGATAACTTGATCTCATGGAAAAGTAAGAAACAGAGTGTTGTGGCAAGATCCAGTGCAAAAGCAGAACATAGAGTTATGGCCTCAACTACCTGTGAACTTATTTGGCTCAAACAATTGCTTAGAGAGTTACAATTTGGAGATGTCACTCAAATGACACTTGTGTGACAATCAGGCTGCTCTTCATATTAGCTCTAATCTTGTCTTTCATGAGAGGACCAAACACATTGTGATTGACTGTCATTTCTTTCGCGAAAAGATTATGTATGGAGACATCAAGACTGAGTTTGTTAACTCAAGTGATTAATTAGCAGATATTTTTCTTAAATCTTTACAGGAGCCTGGAATTGATTATATTTGTAACAAGCTTGACACATACGATTTGTATGCTCTAGCTTGAAGGGGAGTGTTAGATATTGTTTAGATATTGTTAAGATATTGTTAGATATTGTTAATCACAATATCAAATAATATCATTTATTTACTCTAATTAATTTTTTGTTACTCTTTTTAGTTGTAGCTCTCTCTACTATAAATAGATTATCCTATGTGTGAATTATACACAAGGGAGATTAATCTCAAACCCTATTTTCTCGATATTCAATACTTCACTTTAACCTATGCCCCATGTGTATCTTGTGCACCCTCCCTTTCTTTTTCCCTTCCACAACCTTCTCTTTTTCTCTATATTTAAAATTCTAAGAATGTGTCCCTAGTGGGAAAGGCTCACTCTTCTTTTTTCCTCTCTTCTTTAGATTTTGAGCATTCACCCCCGGTGGGAAAGGCTCGAGTGTTGGGTAGGGCTTTTTTATGAGTCTTATCACACACATTGTTGGAAGTTGTTCAGGAACGATGAAGATGCTAGTGCTAGAAGAGAAAACTCCTCTGGTTTCACGACACCAAAAGGTTAAGCCTTGATGATTTCTCCATGACCGTCGTCCAGGCCCCCCAGGTCCTCGAGCACCCAATTCACTTGTCGATTCAACAATTTTACGATCTTCTTCATCGATCCTACCGATCCTTCTATGGTGCAATCTTGCATAGCCACTAAATTGGGCATGTTGTGTGAAATTGTGAAATCATGGAATCTTAACTATAATTTTAATTACACATTATTAGAGTGTATCCTAGCCAAGTTTATTGCCCCTATTGTTTCACCCACAATCAATATATAGTCACGTTGAGATGTTCACTTCTTGACAAGAGAGAGGTGTTCAAACATGTTTATATTTTCTAAATACTCTAACATAAGGCATACCTCTTTGTCTCGGTAAATAAGATGATTGCAACAAAATGAAATGATGTAAGAGAAATAAATTTTTACATAAAATTTATTTCAAAATGGTAACTTAAATTTTAAAGTTCATTGAAGGTTGCATGTAACTGTATGTTTCATCATAAACAAAAAGTTTTATGTAATGCCACCCTTCCTTTGCCAATTGCAATGTTTTCTCCATTCCTAGTTTTTTTCTTAATCATTCTAATGGTTGAAGCAACAATTTAACTAGCACTAGCTTGAACACAAATAAATATGACAATTTAATCTGCAAATGCAATTATTTCTCTTATAAATAATGATGTATTATATGACTCAACTAATCCAAGCCTGTAGGACAAAACAGTCCAATTATCTCCAAACTAAGACATGGATTCAGACAACTCGGTGAATCACTTACAAGTTCATAAGGAGGGGACTTCAAGCCATAAAACGCAGTGATATTTGAGGATCTAGGTGAGCCATCAAACCTCTTTTTCTGCTTAAAATGTAAGGAGGGAACATATCAGCACAAATAAGGAAGTTGTCTTCAATTATAAATCTCCTGTCAGGAATCAGGATTCAGGAATGATATAAAATCACTTTTAATCTATTAGAGAAGCAGGCCATGGTGAATAGTGAAACTCATTTAGCTTGCCCAAATACTTTAGAAGCAAACTTTGATGATTCCTCTCACTTTTCTAAGTTAAGGAATGATGATATCCCAATAGCTACACTATGTCATAAACCTTTTATACTAAAATATGTAGAGAACTGACAAAACACATGTTCTTCAGGCAATCAACACTACAGAGTCTCACTGTTTACAACTGTATGCCTACTAGTCATTTACTCATTTACTTTTGTTTTAGGATTAACATTCATATACTGTTTCTTTAAAAAAATGTTATAATTTTGAAATTGGAAACCCACCTAAAGGGAATTGAAACTTTGCAACTCCAGGCCTTAATTTTGTAGCTTTGTCTGGTTTAATTTCTATTAAGTAGAATACTAGCTCATGCTTTTTTCATGCAAAACATCAGGCTCACACACTTCATCGGATTTATCACTTCAACCACAAAAATTAAATTTATTTTATTGTTTGTTTCTAACTTCATTTATCAAATGTAATCAAAAGACAAACATGACACCAAAAAATTGATACAGACAATTAATCTTAAGTGCAATGCATTTTCATGTTTATTTAAGTACATCTTAAGAAATTACAATAATTTAAAAGAGGAACTAATCAGCAAGACAATGAAACAACAAATATCAATCTAAGAAAGTTACCCTGTGAAGAAGCTTTGGAATCTTGAACTTTCTAGATAAGTTTGCCGAAACAAGATGAGGGCTAGTAGGTATAGGATTGAAATAACAGGAAGCCATTGCTACTTTGTTCCCTAGCATTTACATAAGCATATCAATGCATCGGTTAGCAGTGGATTATGTTCCAGAAAACAACCATTATAACACAAAATGTAGATTAGTGCAACAATGATTTAATTCTCACATCCGAGTTGAATTTTCACATTCTAGATGAACAACGATGTAGTGGAGAATAGAAAATCATCATAGCATTTTCAAAACAAAACTGATGCCAGGATCCACCTAGCACATGCCTTTCCCACATAGGACAACAACAAATAGAGAAAGGAACTCAACTGAACAGACCTCATCCCAAGGATTCACCTGGCATCAGCTATTAATTATGGATATTAAGTTTCAGCCAAACCTAAAACCCTAATAAACTAATAGTGCATCTTTCCTTTTTATATACACAAGGAAAGATATACACATAATTGCTACCGCAAAAAGATTGTTTTTGAACCATTGTAATGTTTAACTCTTTTCTGTACGCACTCATTCGACTAAGTTTCACATAGGGTGTGCCTCAGTGCATGAGGGCTGTGATGGAACTTGGAAATAGACTGGGCAGCAACATCACAAGATCTCAGAATGTAAAACTGAAAACTGTCTGCGATTTCACACAAAACACAAACAAAGCATATAGACATAACATGTGTGAAGTATCCGTAAAAGCAATAACAACAGCAAGGAGCTTTGAGATAAGGTTGTGAAGCACAGTTAAAAATGTTCACAGAACAGGAAGAATGTGAGTCTGAGACTGTAATCATTCAGACACTCACACAAGCACTTCCTTGCATATGAACTTGGTATTTCAATGAGACAAAAGACAATGCTCATTAGATTAACCCCCAATATAATGGTGAAACATAGGCCAAGGAATGAAAACACACCAAAGATGCCACCTGTGTCGTGCAATGCTAAACCACCCATCTTGTCTACGAATGCATCCCATAATACTAGCTAAAATTTGAACTTGTGCAAGTCTGACTGATAGTGTAATCATTTAGACATTTAAACAAGCACTTGCCAAGCTTATGAACTTGATATTTTAATTAGAAAAAGGACAAAGTCCATTAGATTAGACGCCCATACAGTGGTGAAACATAGGCCAAGGAATCATAGCACACCAAAGATGCCATCCTTTTTTAAATGCTAAACCACCCATCTTGTCTATAAATGTGTCCCGCGATACTAGCTAAGATTTTAACTTGTGTAAGCACGTTGTAGAGTAGAGGCTTGGATTAAAAAATGAAATGAAAAAATAAAATAAAAAGAGACATCACCTACCTACGAAATGTCTGAACTATAAAGCGATTGCTAGCGTAAAGTTAAAATAGAGAGAGAGAGAGAGAGAGAGAGAGAGAGAGAGAGAGAGAGAGAGAGAGAGAGAGAGAGAGAGCAACCGAAAAAAGCTTGAGAATAAAAAAAGACAACGTCTTGAGGAACACATTAAACCCAATCATGGGAAATTCAGAAAGGGAAAAGGGAACCTACAAGAATTGCTGAGGGTGTTCGTGCTAAAGTGACGCCGGCATAAACTAGAAACTAAACCTTCTCGGAATAGTAGTGTTGTCGCTTGCTGTTCGGTTGAATTGTAGAAGATAATGTAACATGCACTTTTTAACATCCTCTTGCAATTACCCTTATTTATTTGACTTAAATTAATTTTCCTATTAATTTTATACGTTATTTTAAAAATAATCAAATGGGTTAGACTCACCGGAGTAAGCGGTCGTGTCTCAACTCTCACTTTGTTCGGTCAACCTGAGAAATTAAAGGCAAGTCTCTGAAATTTACCTATTTTACAAAATATTTATATATTAAAATTAAAATAATAAATAATAAATTAAAAATATTATATTTTTATCATATTATTAAAATATATAAATATATTATAATATAAATTATAAATACTAATAAATAAAATTTAAAATATTGATTATAATTAAATATTTTAATATATAAATATAATAAATATTTTTAATTTATCTAATAAAAATATTAATTAATAAATAAAAATTGAAAAATTATTTATATAATTAAATATATATTTAAAAAAAATACATATATAGTGTTGCATGTAGCATTAAATATCTTGTGGTAAAGGCTAATAGTTATAACTTTTGGTCAAGTGATAAGTGTTCAATTCTAACAATTAGTATTAAAGTCAAGATCATTAATTCGATTTACGGTGAACAGTTATTAAGGGAGAGATTGTAGCAATAGATTGATCTCTCGTACATTCTTGTTATAACTAGTCCTCTTATCCTGTTTCACCTATATTTTAAAATATGTCATAATTATTTGTCTAATTTAATCTTATACTAATCAAACAACAAATCATTTTTAACCTAATAAAAAAATTAAAAAGTTATTTCTTTTCTGTAAAAAAAATGATTTTGTTCGGAAAATTATATATTATTCATTAAAAAAATTCATATCAATGAAAAACTAATTATCCTAATTTAAAGAATAAAAAACTCCAACAATAAAATACATTCAAGACAATCGAAAACCTCCCAAACAACTAAACATTTCCAAAATTGTAATATTTATTTATCATAAAATTTGACACTAAACTAGTTAAAATGTTATCTAATAATACATAAAAGTCATTCAAAATGTAACAAATATTTATTATTTACCTCTCGTTAGATATATTTTCTTTGTGGCTGGTTTGCTTAGTAAATAATTATATCTACTCTTCTTATTTTACATCTATAATTGATGATAGACAAAATGTCAACAACTAACATTATATTATTAATTTTTTCATGCCATAGTTTATACAATCATTAACTTGTGGGTTAGTCTTTCCTTGATCCTATGGACAGGTCAAATGACTTAGGATAAAAAAGATTTATTTTTATTTAGGTTGTTTTTTTTAAACCTAACATGGCCTTGTGTATAGACTACACGATTAATCTATTGTGTCAATGCATTTTGATACTCTAATGATAGTTTAATTATTTTAGTAGACTAAGAATTTGAATAATAATTTTATAATTAAATCATATTTATATAAAAATTCTTGAAACTATTCTTTGAGTTTAAAAGATACGTCTTTCATTTATTTTAGGTTTTTTTACTAGTAAGTAATGGTTGGGTGACGTAAGATGAATCCTTGAATGCGATGACGTTAGTTCAAGGACATTTGAATCACATTTCAAACTTCATAATTTTCATAATGATACAATCTCCAAAACAATCTGGGGCAAGTTTGGCTAAAATTATAGCTTTTAAAAGATTGAAATTTAGTACAATTTGTGTAATAGCGAGATCAAATAATTAGTCTAAGTGAAATTATTTGAAATAACTATCTCGTATTTTAGAAGACCATGGAGGATTGTATCATCTATATAATATAATATTATTATATTTTTAATGGATGTAAAATATATTTTTATTTTATTTGCAAAGCATACATATAGATGTAAATTATTTTAAACTAAAGTAATTCTTTAGTATTATTTCACTGTCTAAATTGAAAGATAAAAGCTATGCTAGGTTCAAACAAAAAGAGACTCTCCAAACCTTAATAAAAAAGATCACAAATATTTCAAGGGCCATGACTTTATTTAAGCTAACGACTTAGAACATAAACATCATCCATTGGTATTTTAATCCCCAGTGCCATTGATGATGTCCATGGACAAATTATATTTTTGCATGGCATGATTCAAAGTGCTTGCTCTTCTTGACTCATGATTTCGACAATTGGTTTCACCTTTTCAGCCTGGCTTCCATTGATAATGTTTTCTATTTTCTCCAAATTTTGATCAATCAAGTTGGAGATATCATTTAGATCGATCATTCTAGAAATGTCAAAATTGTTCTTAGCATTAAGGTATTGAAACATGAGAAGGGTCACCTCTTTCTTCCTAATTTCATTTCTCAGTTTCCTCAATTGTGCTTGGGCTTTGATGATCCTCTGCCTCAAAAAGCTCTCTTGACACAACTTTTTTTTTCCTTTCTCCAGTTCAGACACACCCCTAAACTTGGAAAGCACACTTTGGACTCCCCTGTCAGATGGCCAAACCTCTGGCTGAGGATTATCTGGAGTATAAATTATAGCACATGCTTCAATCCCACAAAGAATACCAATTTCAACAATCTTCTTCACTAAACCTGTTTAGAAACATTGTAAGATCCATAAAGAGAATTATTTGAAAGTGATCAAGTCTCAGGAATTGAAATTTATTTAGAAGAAAAATTAGATTACAAGCCTAACACAATAAATAATTTAAATCATTAAAGAGAGAAAAAAAAAAAAAAAACTCAAACCATTTTTCCTTTTGTTCAATGTTGCCTTTCTCTTTGAATCATTGCTTATATATGTAAGGTCCACCTTCTTTCTTGTCATGATGATGATAAAAAAAAGAGAATGAAAGAAATTTTGCAAATGCTAAATCAGTGTGTCTATCTCATTCTCAATGTTGTGTTATTTATAAAACCAAATTTGAGGGATGTAACTTAGTTGAATTTGTGGAAAGTTTTCATAGAGACATTTATTTTGGACTCACCTACCAAATTTGTGCATTGACTTAGTAATTGAATCCATGTATATAACAATTAATTAGAAAGATTTACAATAAAAGCATTGGTTAAATTACTTACCATAACATAAATTAAATATGAGGTTTTTTTTAATTTCTTATTAAGAGGTAACATACAAATTAAAAAGTATAACTAATATCCTTGTTTATAATGAAGGGTAAAAATCATTTTATTCTTTGAAAAATCTTGAGGAAAATAAAATTCAAAACAAATAAAAAGCTATCACTTTTTTTTTAGAGAGACAACCTAATGGGGAAAGTTATAAGGAAACTAAACAAATCTAAATCTACTTGTTTAATTTAAGTCCTTAGGAATAAATATTGTCATTTTAGTTCCTAAATATTTATAAGGATTTTTTTTTCTTTTAATTTTCTTCAATTTAGGGACTAATGTGATGATAACATAAAAAATTCGGGACCAAGATTTTGTTCCTATGTATAATTTCCTTTCAATTTACATGTGTAAGCATATATGGTATGTTAAATTAGTACCTATGTTTAAGAGATAATAATTAATTTTTATTATTTATGAATTAGTTCCTATACTTTTTAAAATAACTAACTTTTTGTTCTTAGTTGTGTGCTGTACTAATTAGAAGGTAAATAATAAATTTGGTCTTAGAAGGAGTAAATTGGTGGTAATTTGGTCCTTACAAGAATGTAAAATTTGATATAATTTCTAAATGTGAAAAAAAAAATACAAATTGATACCTAAACTTTACAATTTGATATCAAATTAATCCTTAAACTATATAATTAATTAATGTCAAATTAATTCTTAAGATTACACATTAATGACAAAATATTTCTAAAAATTTAACAACAAGACACACTTTTCACACTTTATGCTTATTCAAGGACTAAATAATAATAATAATAATAATAATAATAATAGTAATCATTCAATTTAGGAATTAAATTTAAATCAACTTAAATTTTAAAATATTAAAATATCATTTAACCAAAATTAAATGTTGAATCATATACTTTTTGGGGAATGATTTTTTTTCTAATTTAGTTTATATAATTGTGTTCAAACAATTAATAAATATATAATTAATAGACTATTGTTTCAAATATAATTTGACTGTGTTCTCAATATTTAATTAATTAAAATATTAATTATTTAATAATTCATTACATTCATTAAAAATAGAAAATTTTATCATTGACCTATAATGAATATATGCCACGTGTTACTAACATATTACTTTTATAATCTAGAGCTTATCAATTGATCAAGAAAATATAATTTACTAAGAATTTAATCCAAAAAATAAGAAAAATTATTTTCAAATCTTCATTTCTGCCGATCACATTCACATTGCTCCATAAATATTCATTAATATTATCATTAATAAATGGATAAGATAAAAAATTCTTTGTGGCTAAATTTGACTTAATTTTTTATTAAATAGTCTTAAATTAAAAAAATACAGTTCAGTTTATTTTAATTTAATTAAATATGTTTTATATTTGTAAAAGCAAAATATTAATAATATTTTATATAATCATTGTTATATTCATAATTATAAATAAAGTATATAATCTGAAATTAAAAATTTATAATAAAATTTATTATCATATTTTAATAAACATAAATATATCATCAATAAAATAATATATATTCATTGTTCATTAATACACATAATATTATATTTAAATATAATTATTAGTTTTTTTTTAATTCCAAGTCTGAACCAAAATTAGATAAAAAAATATAAAAAATATTTTGATTAATTTCGATTCCTAAAATAATTTAATTATCTATTTGAATTTCTTCAATTTTGAATATTCTTATTGTTTAGTTTCCTAATAACTTTCCACGTGGCAGATATCTAATTTATTTTCCTAGTTATGTGTTGTGTGGTAATAATTAACTGTTGGGTCACATAATTTTTAAGGATGTGAATTAAACGCTTATATTAATTTAGTTTACATATTTTTTGTTCAACCAATAATAAATATATGGTTAATAGATTATTATTTTAAATATAATTTGACTGTGCTTGAATATTTAATTAGAAGTTATTCAATGTAAAATATTAATTATTTAATAATTTAGTAGATATAATTTGTATGAATTACAATTAACATTAAGATTTTTTAAATAATTTGTTTTACCGTTGACCACTAATGTATCATCTCAGCAATTAAAAGACTAATATTCATTTGATTAAAAAAAATATATAATAATAGATACTAAGGGAGGATAAACTTGCTCGAAGAAAACTATAAAATCTAAATGACACAATTTTTAGTTTAGGAGTTTACTTTTACGAAAAAATTATGAGTGTTTTTTATTTATTTATTTATTACATTGTTTAAAATTAATGTAAAACGATTCATTCATTTGCACTTTACATGCATTTGCACGTAAAATGTAGAGTTCAAAGGGATTAAGTGAGAAGTAATAATTTTTCTTATTCGGTAATAACAAAATATTGAATAGAAAATATAATGGATGTATTTACTTTTCTCTTTTATATGACCGGAGAAAAAGTGAAAAATACAAGAAAAATATTATTTTATAAAATTATCTTTACTTAAATAAATTATTATTTATTTTTATGATATATATATATATATATATATATACTTTTAATTATTAATTTAAAATATCATAAATAAAAAATATTATAAAAATCATATAAATAATTGTATATATATATATATATATATATATATATATTTAATTTAATATTACTTTATAATTATATATCAAAATATAATATTAAAAAATAAATCTAAAATATTAAGAATATAAATAGTATAAAATTAGGCGTTAAAACCAAACTCATTGGTTAGACTACTTAATCCATATGGAATTATGAAAATAAAAGCATTCATATCTATTGAAGAAATGTACAATTATGAAGTTCTTTTAGTAATCAATGAATTTGTAAAGCAATCATCCAAGAAAAACAAGAAGAGATAAAGAATAGGTGCAATAGTATAAAGGAGTTAGAGAAAGAATAAGAATACCAAAAATTATACTAATTCACTCAATACCTAGAGCTATATATAGTCCTTAGTCAATCTAGCTATGAGTTCTACTAAACACAATTTAGTTTACAATAATAAAAACCTATCTACTCAAGAGTTTTCTTAAACCCTTCAAGAACAACTCATTCCAATACCAGTGACACCCTGTCGTCAATGCAATTTCCAAAAATCTTATCTAGAATACTATAGTGCTCCCAGTGATTAACAATTTACTAAGAAAAGATATCACCTGAAAAACAACAAATGAACAAAAACTCATGAAACCCAGTGAAGAATCAAGCTCCTCTTTCTTACACGTGAAAAGACAATTTATCTATCTCAATCGATATCATGACATGAATACCATACGTGAGGTTGAAAGGGGTTTCTAGCGTGGGTATTTATGGAGAGCACTTATAAGTCCATAATATTTTTGACAACTCATCAACCCATTTTCCTTTTGTGATCCCCAATATTTTCCTTAATTTTTCCAATAAGTCCTTGTTGTTGCAGGTAGTATCAATTGTCCTGTGACGAAGGTCAGGTAGGGCGAGTCACAATTGAATCGTGGCGCTTGGGCTGTTAAAGTAAAAAGAGTTGCGCTCTGACTAATGGCTATAGCTTTTGGCCTAGTGGTAAGCGCTCGATCCTAACAATTGATATCAGAGCCAAGGTCACGAGTTCGATTCCTGGTGGGCAATTGTTGCGGGTTGCACAATTGTCCCATGGTGGAGGCCGGGTGGGCCAAGTCACAATCCAAGAGTGGGATACCTTGTAGGACAATTGCTGAGGGGGAGATTGTTGCAAGTAGCATCAATTGTCCTGTGACGAAGGTCAGGTGGGCCGAGTCACAATTGAATCATGACTCTTGGGCTGTTAAAGTAAAAAGAGTTGTGCTCTGACTAATGGCTATAGCTTTTGGCCTAGTGGTAAACGCTCGATCCTAACAATAAAATTTGTTGACAAACAAGTATCTAAATAAAGCACTTTGTATATTATCACTTGATGTGTTTGTAACAAGTGATACATGATCAATTTATAGGCCTTTGGATATGACCTCTCAACTACATGCATTTAATACAACTACTACCTTTCAACTACATACATTCAATACAACCACTATCTCTCAACTAGATACATTCAATACAACTTCTATCTCTCAACTACTACCTCTATAACCACTACCTCTCAACTACATGCATTTAATGTTTACCTAACACTTGTTAGCTATTTTTACTTACCCGTTGGTCTATGAGTGTTCGACTGAGCTAGTGGCATGCCTTATGTGCAAACCTTTGTAGAAGTCAGTCAAACCTTTCTTAATGAATTTTCTATGTTCTCTATTATTGTGGAATGTAGGATGCCAAATCAACAAATGGTATTTCTCCACGTGAAACACTTTACTTATTGAGTCGTGATTCTTGTTAATGGTTATGCTTTAATTTATTTAGTGAAGTAGTTGACAACAACCAATATGAATTTATATTATCCTTTCATTGGTCTGGTAGGTCCTACTATATCCATGTACCATATTGCGAATGACCATGGAGAAATTATTTGTCATATCTCCTATGAGTTTGAATGAATGAATGAAATTGTTGTGCCTTTGATATTTAAGGCATTCTTTTGGTGTATTCGGCATAACCAACCCACATTGTAGGCCAATAATATCCAACACTAGTACTCTCATTATCATTATTCTTTTGTCGAAATATAATTCGCACACCCTTTTATGAAGTTCTTCTAGCATGTATTGAGTTTGCACATTGGACATACATATTTGACTAACGTTTTGTTTGGTTGGAGTGATTTGAGAGAGTGGAAATGAGAGTGTGGAAAAGGAGGAATTTGAAGAGAAATGGAGATGAAATTAAAGTCTGTTTGGATAAAAGGAAAGTGAAAGGAAAGTTTATGGAAAATTGTGAATGATTTGATTGATACTGAGATATAAAAATTATAATTTTAATTGATTATTTAAGAAAATTACCATTTTACCCTTTGTATAAAATAAGGTTCAAATTATTATAAATATAATTTTTTAATTAATTATCCATATTTTAACATTGATTATATATTTAAAAGAAAAAACAAATTTAAAAGTGTTTGTAATTGGAAACAAATTTAAAAAATTAACTTTTTTTAAATAGTTATTAAAAATTATATAAATAAACAATTACAAAATTATGTACATTGCATATCCATAAACGAATAATTTTGACATATTAAATAAATTATTTGACTAATAATTAAATAATTATAAAATATAAAATAATAACTAATATTGACTGATAATAACAAATAATTATGAAAACTAATAATATAATTGTAAATTATTATTTAAAACAAATATAAAATACAGTGAAAATAGAATAATAATTAAATGAAATATTCAAGTAAACTTAATAGTAAAAATATTTTATTATTTAGTTAAAAATTATATTAATATATATTTTTGGCATATTTTTATATTTTCAACATAAAATAAATAAATATATATATATATATATATATATATATATATATATATTAGAATTACATGCATAAATTTTAATTATCAAATAATATTAATTAATACATACATTAGATATTTGACAAACATTACTAAAATTATAAACTTATGCACACTAATGCTCTTCAAACAAATAATTATAATGTTATCCATCTTTTGCAGTCAAGTCCTCTAGTTCAGATCATTCAATCACTTCCACTCAAGAACATGAACAACTGGGAGAGACGAAGATGTGAGGGCAAGCCAAAAAGTCGTCTAACATGTGATTCGTGAGTACACAAATGATTATAACACTGAAGCATAAGTTAACCGCTATCTAAAGTCGTCTAACATGTGATTCGTCCAAGTTAACCGCTATCTAAAGTCTCCAGTATTTGAATTTATTTTGATGTATAATTATATTTATATATATATATATATATATATATATATATATATACATATTCTAAAATATAATTTATATTAATTACTATAATATAAAATATATATTCCACAATATAACTTATTTTCATTTATATATATATTATAGAAAGAAAAATAAATTATATTTTAGAATATATAATTTTGATGTAAAATTATATTTATATATATATATATATATATATTCTAAAATATAATTTATATTAATTACTATAATATAAAATATATATTCCAGAATATAACTTATTTTCATTTGTATATATATTATAGAAATGAAAATAAATTATATTTTAGAAGATATAATTTTTCAAATGATCGATTACTTTGCCAAAATGATCGATCACTTTTCCAAATACTCGAGACTTTAGATAGCGGTTAACCTGGAACCGCTATCACAAGTTAACATCCGATAGCGGTTCCAAGTTAACCGCTATCTAAAGTCTCCAAGTATTTGAATTTATTTTGATGTATAATTATATTTATATATATATATATATATATACATATTCTAAAATATAATTTATATTAATTACTATAATATAAAATATATATTCCACAATATAACTTATTTTCATTTATATATATATATATATATTATAGAAAGGAAAATAAATTATATTTTAGAATATATAATTTTGATGTAAAATTATATTTATATATATATATATTCTAAAATATAATTTATATTAATTACTATAATATAAAATATATATTCTAGAATATAACTTATTTTCATTTGTATATATATTATAGAAATGAAAATAAATTGTATTTTAGAAGATATAATTTTTCAAATGATCGATTACTTTGCCAAAATGATCGATCACTTTTTCAAATACTTGAGACTTTAGATAGCGAGTTAACCTGGAACCGCTATCATAAGTTCACATCCGATAGCGGTTCCAGGTTAACCGCTATCTAAAGTCTCCAGATATTTGAATTTATTTTGATGTATAATTATATTTATATATATATATATATATTCTAAAATATAATTTATATTAATTACTATAATATAAAATATATATTCCACAATATAACTTATTTTCATTTATATATATATTATAGAAATGAAAATAAATTATATTTTAGAATATATAATTTTGATGTAAAATTATATATATATATATATATATATATATATTCTAAAATATAATTTATATTAATTACTATAATATAAACTATATATTCCACAATATAATTTATTTTCATTTGTATATATATTATAGAAATGAAAATAAATTATATTTTAGAAGATATAATTTTTCAAATGATCGATTACTTTGTCAAAATGATCGATCACTTTTCCAAATACTCGAGACTTAAGATAGCGGTTAACCTGGAACCGCTATCATAAGTTCACATCTGATAGCGGTTCCAGGTTAACCGCTATCTAAAGTCTCCAAGTATTTGAATTTATTTTGATGTATAACTATATTTATATATATATATATATTCTAAAATATAATTTATATTAATTACTATAATATAAAATATATATTCCACAATATAACTTATTTTCATTTATATATATATATTATAGAAATGAAAATAAATTATATTTTAGAATATATAATTTTGATGTAAAATTATATATATATATATATATATATATATTCTAAAATATAATTTATATTAATTACTATAATATAAACTATATATTCCACAATATAACTTATTTTCATTTGTATATATATTAAAGAAATGAAAATAAATTATATTTTAGAAGATATAATTTTTCAAATGATCGATTACTTTTCCAAAATGATCGATCACTTTTTCAAATACTCGGAGACTTTAGATAGCGGTTAACCTGGAACCGCTATTATATGTTCACATCCGATAGCGGTTCCAGGTTAACCGCTATCTAAAGTCTCCAGATATTTGAATTTATTTTGATGTATAATTATATTTATATATATATATATATACATATATTCTAAAATATAATTTATATTAATTACTATAATATAAAATATATATTCCACAATATAACTTATTTTCATTTATATATATATATTATAGAAATGAAAATAAATTATATTTTAGAATATATAATTTTGATGTAAAATTATATATATATATATATATATATATATTCTAAAATATAATTTATATTAATTACTATAATATAAACTATATATTCCACAATATAACTTATTTTCATTTGTATATATATTATAGAAATGAAAATAAATTATATTTTAGAAGATATAATTTTTCAAATGATCGATTACTTTTCCAAAATGATCGATCACTTTTTCAAATATCGGAGACTTTAGATAGCGGTTAACCTGGAACCGCTATCATATGTTCACATCCGATAGCGGTTCCAGGTTAACCGCTATCTAAAGTCTCCAATATTTGAATTTATTTTGATGTATAATTATATTTATATATATATATATATATTCTAAAATATAATTTATATTAATTACTATAATATAAAATATATATTCCACAATATAACTTATTTTCATTTATATATATATATATATATATATTATAGAAATGAAAATAAATTATATTTTAGAATATATAATTTTGATGTAAAATTATATTTATATATATATATATATATATATATATACAAGTTATTAAAAATTATGTAAATAAACAATTACAAAATTATTTACATTACATATCCATAAAAAAATAATTTTGACATATTAAATAAATTATTTGACTAATAATTAAATAATTATAAAATATAAAATAATAATTAATATCGACTAATAATAACAAATAATTATGAAAACTAATAATATAATTGTAAATTATTATTTTAAATAAATATAAAAACTTTAAATTATATATATATATATATATATATATATATATATATATATATATATATATATATTGCATAAATTAGAGGAGGCACTGTGTGTGGATTCCATGCACTGTGTCTTCACATGGAGGAGATGGAGAAGGATAAATACGTCAATTATCATTTGATGATGTGTGTTTCTCTGCATATCCTCTCATATCCTCTTTGTTTAAGAGGGTGAGCTTTCCTCCCCTCTCCCTCAAATCATCGCTCGCATATCCTCTCATATCAGTTGAAACAAACGAATAATATACTCGCTTTTCTATCATTTGAAATAGTAAATCACTGAAAACAAACACAGGCTAAGGGTGTGTTGAAACCCCATTTGAGTAGCTCCTCCCCAATAAGGATAAAGTCAGCAACTCTTTGTTGGAAGGTCATCACCTCCTTAGGCTCACCCAACATGACATTGTTGTTGTCATAAAACTCTCTTTGTCTTTAATGGATGATTGTTTGACAATTTGTTGGATGATAGTTTGTGCACACCCTTTTGCTTGGTATTGGCCAATTTTGACAACA